ATATTTAAATTGATACATTGACTCATTTGAATATTTTTATGCCAGAAGACTCTGGGGGGTTTTAGTGTTTACAGAATGACAGGAGTGTATTTTAGGCAGCAGACAGTGATTTCCAATACTTGGTCATTTGGCCAAATTGTCACTCATTTTCAGATTAACATTAAAGTCACTTCACCAGCTTCTTTTGAAGTTCATGGACTTGCTGCATATCATGATCAAATAATAGGAGGTGGAAAAAAATACCTATTTCTTCTTTGTTATAAGTAAGTATTGTTGCTCTAGTAGAATAAATTTGTAGTTCACGTGCTTTGTAAGCCTGTCTGTAAGAATGGTCAGCCTGAAATGCTTCTTACAAGTATGTAAACCAAAAGTATGACATTGAATGAATTTGGGAAATACTGGTTCTTGGCTGCTGCTCAAGAGTAAGCCACTGGCTTAAAGCAAATGAATTGAAAGCACTTACAGTTTTATTTGGGTAAAATGCTTGGACATGTTAGGTTTCCTTACTAAAATATTTAATTATTTAAAACTTCAAACTCTTTGCTTAAAAATATTCTTGGGCCTTGACCTATTTTTACTGGCTTTCTGACTTGCTTTCCTCAACCATTCTTCCTTGTTCCCAGGCAATAAGATTTATTATAAGAAATCTTAGTTTTGTACTGGATAAATTATCTATGCATGTTATAATGCAAATAATATTTTGCAGCCAAAGCTTTTTGATACCTGCTTGAGACATGAAACAAGGTTGCTGCTAAGGATGTGAATGGAGTTATAGTGCTTATATGAAAATGAAGAGCCTACTGTGCTTACATCTTCTCTGTCCATCTTGGCTCCTTTCTACCTACTGTTTGTTCTGAAGGAGGAATTAATTGATTGAAAAGGTTGTCTGAATTTATCTAAATAGGTATACTAACTTCATAAAATTTGCTAATATAGCATGAATGTCAGGCTGTCTTGTTACTTTGGCTTGTGCTTTTAGTAATGCCCAGTCCATTTCTTCTAAATGGGGGCCTGTCAGCGTTTCAATTTTAAACATTATTTTCAGAGGTTATAGTTTGGCAGTTCTACATTTCTTTGGGCACAATATTGGCAAACAGACTTGAATCTGCAATGCAAATTTTATTTTTGCAAAGCTTTTACTATAGTCTCTTGTTCTTTCTCAGTTTCTGGTACTATTTATATAGCTCTAGAGCTGCTAAATCAGCTGAATTAAAACTTTTTAACAAGCATTTGGCTCACAAAAAGAGAATTTAACTTTTACCTTTGCAAAATAAGGAAGTAGAAGCAACCATATTTTTAAACCATATAAAACAGTTATGGTCTCTGCATAATTGCTATTTTTCCTTGCAAAATATCGGTATTCTGCCAAATTCCTCTTATTTTAATAGGAGTTTCTGTATAAACATGTGCGTAGTAGTTGCTTTTACATTCCTAGCATCTGGTAGTATTTTGCTTAGTAATTGTACTATGTATCACTAGTCAATTCTGGTTGACTTGATTTTTTGCAAGTATAGTGATTCATACCTGAAAAAAATTGAACAGATGGTAGATAGTGCAACTTGTGTTCTTTACGGTAGCAGCTGTAATGTGTTGTCCCAGTGTTTTAGACGTGCACTCTTCCTTCACTAAGATGGGGTGAGTGATTTCTTTTCTAGGAAGGTGTGGCGCTCTGTTCTGATACTGCAGTGGGTTGACCCTGGCTGTAGCCAGGTGGCCACCAAAGCTGTTCCATCACTCCCCTCTTCAGCTGGACAGGGAAGAGAAAATACAAGGAGGAAAGCCTTGTTGGTAGAGATATACAGGGAGGGATCACTCACCGGTTACTACCATGGGCCAAACAGACTCAACTTGGGAAATTAGTTTCATTTATTATCAATGAAATCAGAGTTAGGGTAATGAGAAACAAATCCAAATCTTAAAATACCTTCCCTTCTTCCCAGGCTCAGCTTTGCTCCCCATTTCTATACCTCCTCCCTCACAGGGGGATGGGGAATGGGTGTTGTGGGCAGTCCATCACATGTTGTCTCTGCCTCTCCTTCCTCCTCAGGGGAGGGATTCTCACACTCTCCCACTGCTCCAGCGTGGGGTCCTTCCCACAGGAGACAGTCCTCCACGAACTCCAGTAGTGTGGGTCCCTCCCAGGGACCACACTCCTGGACTGCACCTGCTCCAGGGTGCAGTCCCTCAGGAGCAGCCTGCTCCAGCCTGGGACCCCCCGGGGTCACACGTCCTGCCAGCAAACCTGCTCCAGCCAGGGCTCCTCTCTACATG